TCATGTAGCTAATTTGAACGTGGGTTTTTAAAGACAAAGCCCATGACACATTGGCTAAGCATTCGAAGGTAATGGACCGTGGAGTCCCATTTCCCCACAAGCCCAGGAAGCGCCCTCTGACGTCCTGGTTTTCGGCAACATCAATTATTAAAATGTATGTTTTTTGCTGACGGAGGACCTTGCCTTCGGCATAGGTTGCGTTGTCTGGCTCCGGGTCATTAACTGCAGAAAGCTTGTAAATATAATGGTTTATTCCCATGGGAAGCCTTCATTAAGATGCGTAATTCTGCAGCTAATGTATCGCGATACACCGTGGGCCATCATGTTCTCTGTTTCCCTTTAATGTTTGTAATTCACTTTGAAGTGAGTTGCTGTTTACGCAACGACAAGTTCCCAAACTCAAACTCCCTAGGACCAAAGTCATCAGAGAGGAAAAAAGCATGATTTCCCCCCAAGGAAAAGCTGCCCATTAACATAGGACCTGAACTGACAATGGCCTTGACATCCAAAAGCAACGAGACGGAGTCTGTACCAAGAAACACGCGTGAACACACGTCCACAGCACGGAGCGAGGCAGCAGGCGAACTCAGAGCCTCGGGAGCCGGGAAGCTTCTCATTGGCTCCTTCATTCACACAGGGTGACTCGGGCCTCCCTTGGTTACGCCCCTCCGTGACCTCATCTGTCTCATAGGACGGTCGTAGCGGCCTTGTTTCTACCTCCAAGGTGGACGTGGACATGAGTAAAGAGCCCCAGTGAAAGATCGTGGGGACCGAGGGGCTGTGACAATTCGGAGGACGGCTGGGAGGCTTCCCTGCTCCACCCAGATCTCGGGAACAGCAGAAGCCAGCGGAACCCTTCACAGAGAGCAACTGTCAGGGCACGTGCCCGTCACTGATGTGTTACTTCAGTTTGGGGGGTAAACCGGGGGAAGAAGGCCCGGCAAAAATATGCTTTGTGGATGTACATCTATGGAAGAAATTTGCTGTAAAGTGCCATGAGAAATGATGTAATTGCAGGGTGGAAGCCATTCATGTGATTCATTGAGAGAGAATCATAACATTGATGCAGGACTTCAAAACAAATCACACTGTCATCAGAGATGAAGGAATCTGGGTCATTTGTAGCAAAGACCCCTTGTGACACGTTCACAAACACGATGAGTTTTAGAAGGGTCCTTGGAGAAATCAGGTGGAAATCTGTGTGAGAATTAGAAATGTCTGTTTCACACGTTTAGAACGAGGACACTGGAATGGGCAGCAGTGCCCCGGAGACAGGAGAACGGTTGCTGCTCTAAATGATTCAGTAAAGAAACCCCTGTCCCTTCATTTCGACACAAGGCACATGGAATGGATTTTGCAGGCCTTTGAGCACCTCTGCAGTGAGGGACTTAGTTTGTTTAAGATTGTTCTTAAAGTGATTCTGTGCCCCCCATTCCAGATTCACCTTCGAAGCCGTCGGAGGGTCCCTGTCGTGCACGCCATGCCCCCCCATTGCCACACCCCGAAACCGTCGCTGGCTGGCTTCCTTCGTGTTCCTCGGGCGTGTTTTGATAAACGGCCTTATGTATGCTGTTCTTTTCATCTTGTTAACTTGATTTCATGTCACTAAGTGGATGCCAAATTCCAGTCGCATCTGGGCTGTGGTTTCACGCTGAGCAATTACCCCCAGGGGCTCCTGGTGGTTTCTAGGAGACTGTGTGCGTGTGTGTGTGTGTGTGTGTGTGTGTGTGTGAGTGCACGTGCTTGTTACACATAAGTTCCATCCATTTGGAACTGATTTTAGTCTACGACATGAATTGAGTCTTTCTGAGATTATCTCGGTTTTCCACAAGTCATTGGTTTAAGTGTGTAGGTCTGTCCCTGCAAACGGAGCCCTGAATCGGTCGTGCACTACTTTTGCAGCTTGTGAAATGGACTTTGAAGTTTTCCTCTCATCCTGGAATTTTATTCGCCAGGCAGCTTCCTAGCTTTCCTTGGCTCTGTCCATGTCGACATGGGTGCCGCTTGGCCGTGACAGCTTCACACTGTCCCCACGCTGGCACGCACTGCCCACCCCCCAGGCCAGGCCCCAGGCAGGGCTTCCTGGGGAGCCTCCCCCCAGTTTCCACAGCCTGATACTGCCCCCTCCTGCTGAGCAGGAAGCCGAGCCCGCAGAGTCGGTGCCCCATCTGAAGTCACACAGGGTATGACTGTGTGAAGTCACACAGGCATTCTGCCCCGAGAGCCCAGAGTGTGGCTCTGGACCAGATGGGCTGGGGGGGGGGGGTTCCTGCCTGCACCGGTGGTCAGCTGTGTGCACCTGGAAGAGTGGCTTGGCCTTTCTGCTTCCCTGTCCTTACATGGTGGTCACACTCCCTGGTGGGAGCGCACAGGGTGGTGGGAAGAGCCAGGAGATCATTTCTGTAGGGGGGGCGGGCACGGGGGGAGGCAGGCAGGGATCCCTGCATGGGCATCTTTGACTCCTTTTTCCAACTCTCCCCTCTTCCCATCCTGTCCCTCTTCCTCCTCCTCCTCCTCTTCATTCTTCCTTTTCCTCATCATCACTCGGCTTTGCAGGCCATACAGTCGCCGTCACAACTATCCAACTGGGACAATCCAAACAACAAAATAAAGAGCTAGGGGATTATAACCTGCAGTATAAAGGAAATATCCACGAGGCCATACCGATGTAAATATATCACTGAGTCAATAAATGTGGGAGAAGAGACAAATCTTTGATGAAGAAGAATTCCAAATACTTTTGGGTTCCCCACCCCCAAGGAAGCAGAGGGTGCCTGGTGACTTCCTTCCAAAGGGGAGGGTGGGAGGTGGGGCCGGCGACGTTAGCACTGGAACCCGGTGGAGCCTGCGTAAGCTGGGTGACCGAGGTCAGCTGTCCGGCCTCTCGCTAGGACAGAATGAAGGTGCCACCCTCTCCCCCCCACCCCCGCGCCTGTGCCCTTCCTCCCCGTGAGCCAGGCCCCAGTCCAATCCTCAGTAGACAGAGCTGTGCCTGGTCTTTGAGCCTCAGAGGTTCAGAGCCGCTGATGGGGATGAAGGGTGAATAGAGTCGCTACTTCTCCGCCCCGCCCACCTCCTGGCCACCCGCAGCCCGCGCTCCCGTGCCACCTCCGGGCCCTGGCTTGTTTGTTCCCTGCTCCAGGTCGAGAAGGTTCTTTTGATCCCTCCAACCCAACAGACATCCTCTGAGGTCAGCTTTGCCCTGGATTCTGCGGGCTCTTGGCCCCTCCCACACCACGCGGCCTCTGGGAAAGAAGGCTCGCAGAAGGTGGGCAGTGGGTAGGATGCAGAGGACCCAGGAGTGATGGGGGAACCTTCCAGAACAGCGAGGTTCGGCCTTCAGGGTGCCCGGCGCTGTGCTGGTGATGCTTTCCCATGGCTCTCCGGGAAAACCGTGTGCACGTAGCATTTCGTTGACGTAAGGATGTGCGTATACAACTTCCTACTGACAAATACCCACCCTCTTCATTGCACACCCCGCACAGCCGTCGATCCTCACAGGGCACTCGTGACCTTACTGAGCCCGGTGCCTGCTGTCTGCCTGGCTAAGCAGGTGCATCTCGTGAACGGAGGTAGTTCCCGTATGGACGTGGAACGCTGTTTTCGTTCACGGTAATGAGTGAGATAAAAGCGAGGTGACAGGAAAAGGCCGGCACTTCGCTGGGCCATTGTGTTTTGAAGTCGGGCGCCCACCTTTGCTGAGTCAGAGGGCGGTTTTCAGAAGGACATTTCCTTGGCTCTTAGTGCTGTTCTGAAGGCAACCGGTGCAGGCAGGGCAGGTGCTCAGGTTTACCTGCATTATCGCTCTGCCATCACTCCAGGCGGGACGGTCGGAACACACACGAGGCCCGGCCTTGCGTTGCGTGCTGAGCCCACGGTGTGGTGGACGCGGTGGGAAGACACGCGTGTCATGCAGAGAACATGGGACCCGAGTGACGTCAAGAGCCCAGTTAACGGTCCCGTCCAGTGAAAACGACCAGGAAGCGATGAGTTGTTGGTGCCGATGACTTTCATTTTTCAAACAATCACAAGTTTATATAATTTCATATTCAAAAGTGGCTATTTAACAGCTTGGGAAATTCCCGACGATGTACCCGCTGGACCGGCAGCAGGAGCCTCAGCGGGCCGGCTCCATCTCGCCCTGAGCTGGCCCCTCGTGTGCTGACGACCAGCTGAATCTCCGAGCTCCTCAGGGTCTCTACCTGCCGAGGGTCACTGCCTCCCAGCCCCCGGGCTGTGATTCCTGGCACCCCAGGCCCTTCTCACCCTGTCCATCCACGCCCACGACATGGCGCTCTGGTAGAGCACCCGTGGGCAGTGCCACGTCACTCCCGTCCAGCCCGCGGCGTCCCCCAGGGACGCTCAGCAGCAGAGTTTCATCTCAACGGCTCTCCGCACTTGCTCTCACCTCTGCTGCTCGGGGGCTGGGCGCGTGCTGGGGTCTTGGTTGGCGCTCGCTAGCCAGGCGTTTGTTGACTTCCTGATGGGCGGATTTTTGGTGGAGAGGGAACAAAGGGATGTGATATCTCAATGTCTGGAGTGAGCAGAGAATTTTCATCTTTGGAGGTGTTAACAATAGAATAGATGTTTCCAGAGCCGATCTGGGTTTCGTTTTTCTCGAAATCGGAGCCCTCAGACCCTCTTCCCAAGTTCTTGGCTCGCTTCAAACATCGTCTTGTTCTGCAGTCTTGGCCCTCCCAGCAACCAGGAAGGTTTGGAGAGACTTACTGAACACGCCGGAGCGTGCCTCTTTCGAGCTGACTGGCACCCCCCCCCCCCGGGTTCCAGGAGACCGTGCGGAGCTCACGCCCTGGCCTCTCGCCCGGGCAGTGATGCCCGACTCCGAATGTTCCCGCCCGTTCGGCTCCTGGGTCCTGGGTGTGCTTCTCTGGGCCCTCGCCAGGGCACCACTGAGCACGTGGCCAGATTCATTCGTGTCTAACATTTCTCTCCGGCTTCACAACCTGTGCGACTGCAAACCTCTTTGCTCCTGTTTTCAGCACCCGCCTCAGCTGCTTGACGAGGTCAGCGATGCCATGATCCAGGCCCAGAAGGTGACCTGTCTGCGGAGCGCGGTGCAGAGCAAGCATGAGAACAACTACAGACAGGCCCTGGTCACCATCAAGGACGAACTGAAGCTCACGGAGGGTCCGGACATCAAGGAGAACCTGCAGGACCAGATCCGGCGCTGGTTCATCGAGTGCAGGTGAGCGGGAGCGCACGGGTGGGGCCTGCCCCTGGTGGTCTCCGCCGCCCCAGGGACCAGGGTTCTCAGGCACAGAGGTGTGTCGGTCTATATCCGTGGGGTTTCCGGCTTCATCTTTAGCAAAGGGAAGTGGTGAGGCTAAGAGTTCAGGAACTAAGTTTTTGGAATGAAGTTGCCGGCGTCTTTTTCTTTAATGTGGGCCACGGAATGCTTCTGTGACCCCGTGGGCTGGAGCCCCATCCCCCCACCCTCTCCAGGCCGGGCGAGCGGCACCGGAGCACACAGACCGCCAGACTGGAGCTGTGCTTGGGGCGGAATCACTGTGTCACCGCGTGGTCGTGCGTGTGTCTGTGGTCATCTCCTCCTCCGGGAGGACAGGACACTCGCCACGGTGCGAGAGGGCTGGGGGTTGCAGAGCACGGAGACCTCTGTGTGCGGGAGGCTGTCACTCTGCTGTGGCGTGACATCTGCTCGCTCCTGTGGCCTCTCCCCCACCTAAACGGAAAGTTCTGGAGGACTGGCCCGGCCCGGGCATGCAGGGCTGCGTGCTCTCCACGCGTGTGCAGGGAAGCGTGTGGGCCACAGTGAGCCACCCCTCTGGCCCGGTCACACAGGGGGTCCGGAGGAAGTGGCTCGGGGCGGTCACACCCAAGCGGGACACGTAGGTAGGAAGACACCGTGTCGAGCGAACCGAGTCTTCTCGTTCAGTCTCGTCGGGTCAGAATGAAAACTGTCGTGTTCACGGTCAGTGAGGGTGGCGCGCCCTGTGTCATCGAACTTCTGTCACCAGGAGCTCCCCTCCCTTCTCCGGGGATGTCAGGGTGGGTGCCCACAAAAACGTGCCCTTGGGGACGTGACTCTACTTTCACACAGGCACTTCACGGTCCGGTTTATTTTTTGGTGGCAAAACCAAGTTGAAAGCACTATGTACAATTATAACCCCAAATAAGCTAAAATTCATAAAAGACACACACACGTGCATGTATGTTCATACACACATTTATCCTAGTGACTGTGTTCACATGTGCACAGACACTAGACACCGTCAGCACAGCTGCCTCTGGACACAACAGCAGCCAAGTGACCTTTTATTTTATGTTCTTCTGCGCCTTAGTAGTCTTGGTCACTAAGTATTATTTCTATAGTAAAAGCCTAGTTAAAAATGTATTAGAAGAAAGACAAGCAGTTGAACAAGCAACTGTTGGAGATAGTCCCAAATAAGCATTTAAAATTTTAAAACACCCTAACGTTTTAAAGGTTAACGCACTACTTGTGTAACACACTGGGAAGGCATCTTCATCGAAGACCGGGAGATGGGAGCTGTTCCCCTCCCCGAGGGCCTGGGAGGCTCCTGGGTGGGTGGCTGCCGCAGATCCTGGTGCGGCCGGGGAGCTGGGCGCGGCCCTCCCCAGGCTCCGGTTTTGGGGCTCCCTCAGAAACAGGCGCAACCCTCGGGGGCCAGACCCGTGAGAACAGGCACCGTTGGGTCCCCGAGCCAGCCGCCGCCGGGGGCCTGGCGGGGGGCAGCGCCCGCGGGTGTCTGGGCGTCTTTCACAAAGATGCAGCCCTCCCTCTCTGGAAGTTATGTGAGTGGAGGCGAATTTATCTTCCCAGCGGGATTACATTTATCTGACCGACTTTGATAATATCCTTCTCCTTGCTTTTTTAAGCCAAAGACAAATAAAGAGCAAATATTATCTTTTAAAACATGAAACGGGATCCACCCTCAGGCCAAATTCCGGCAGGGCACACAATGACAGCTTAAGAAATGACCAGAAGGGACGATTCACACACACCCCTTCGATCTGGAATGCTTGGCCTTGGCTCATTTAAATAATACTTATGGTTGCCAAAAAGGGTTATACTAAGATTTGTTTTATTTAAGCCAGTTTTTAAATTAGTTTAAAGGGAGACTTTTCCCCAGTGTTACAAGGAACACATGCGCCCTGCAGAGAATTCAGGGACGGAGCAGTTTGAAGGAGGACGTGGAAACCAACTCTGAGCTTCGTGTGCGAAGGAGACGTCCCTCCAGCCTCTGGGGTCACGTGGGCTTCTCCTCCCTGCATCTTGGTCTCCCTCCGCCCTTCTCACCTGAGGACACTTACAGTCACACTCAGGGCCCACTCAGGTAACCCAGGACCATCTCCCTGTCTTGTGGCCCTTGATTTAATCGCACCGGCAAAGACCCCTTCAGCACGTGAGAGAACAGAGCCTTCAGGGGCTGGGACCCCACGTTTGGGGACAGCCCCGTGATAGAAGCGCTGCCCACCGCCCCTCCGCTGGGGAGTCCGTAGTGAGGGACCACACGGACTGTGTCGCTCGGGCCAGCGCTGCCGACGGGACTCCCTCGAGTCCCGCTTCCCTGTGGTGCTGGACGCTGGGAAGCGCTGAGGGACGCTGAACACTGTGCTGGCCGTTTCCCTTTATTCACACTGAAGTGTAGAGAGCCACCTGCCATTAGTGGTGACCACAGTGACAGCTCAGTCAGGGGACCCTTGGTCTTCAGATGTCTTGTCCTGCTTCAGTCGCTGCTTCCCTTGTCTTGGGACGTGTTGTAAACTGCCCTGTAAGTTCCAAGATCCATCGATAAGCTTCGCTTTCAAGTATCATCACAGACGGCGGAGGGGGTGAGGGAAGGGGCAGGACGCGAGCGCTGAGCGGTCCGATGCATGGGGTGCAACATGTGGGGGGTGTAGGATTTAATGTTATCACCCAATGTTACCCCTATACGCTAATAAAAATTTAAAAATAGGTACATGGATAGGTCGATAGGAGTGAAAGAAAGAGAAAAGGAAAGAAAGAAAAAGGAAAAAAGCCACCAGGAGCGACTTCCCCAACCCCTGGGGGTGACCGAGGAGAACCTGGAGCCCCGGAGCTACCCGCCCACAGCCAGTCTGTGACACGGCAGCTGTTGTCACTCAGCAGGTGCCAACATCTTCCTCGGTTCCCTCATGGGCATCAGTGCCACCTGGGTGGCTGTCAGCTCGGAAAACCAGCGCTGCTCCTTGACCTTCAACCTTTGCAGGCTGTCCTGTGTGGAATGTTGACGTCTCTCCCGCCTGCGTCTTGTCACTTACCTCCTGGGACCCATGCCCAGTGTCCTGCCCGTCCTTCTGCCCAGAGAGACTGCCGTCCCCAGGCAGCGAGGCAGCTCCAGGCCTGGCCCCGAGGTGTCCCTGCTTCCTCAGGCCCCTTTGAACCATGTACGATGGAGGGTCTGGCAGTGATGGAGATGGAGGGGCCTCGTTCCGCGTCTGAGCCAGCACGCAGCCAACCACCAGGGCCAGCGACGGGGAGGGCCCAGGGTCTGCAGGCGGGAGCCCTGCTAGCTGTTAAGATGCTCTGCCTTTTTGTCTCGTGGCATCTATCATGTTACCCATCGGGGAAGATGATACTGTGCGTCTCTCACGGAGGGGCCTCGAAGCCAGGCTGCCGGGCTGGGAGCCGAGTCTCTCCCCACTGTGCTGGGCGCCTCCCACGGATGCCCTGCTGGGTGCCAAGGCTTAGAAGGGTTGAGTAAGGTTTTCTCAGGTTCATGGCTCATGAGAGGCAGGGCCAGAAAGCAGACTTGGGTCTCGGTTCCCAAAGCCACGATGCTGGCAAAGCACGTCTCATTCTGAACGTGGCAACCGCAGAAACCTTGTTCCGTGGGTTCCTGGCCCTGGGATGCAGTGAGTGCACCCGGTCATTCTGTGGGAAAAGGGGGCGGTTGCCAAGGCTGTGAGCCTCCTTAGCTGTGACCTGGGAACCCGGGGCTCTCCGTGTCCCCGCCTCTTCCTCCTCCTGCTTCCAAGCCCTGCGCACAGAGCTGGGGGACGGTTCTGTGCAGATGAAAGGAAGGGAGGGGGGATGATGGGGGTTGAGAGCGGGGCCCAATTATTTCATAGACAGCAGGGTGGACTGAGGGAAGTCAGGTAACTTGGCTAAAAACTTGGGTAGTTACCAGCAGAAACAAATCCTCGCGGGGGACTAGAGACTCTCTGAAATTCGTGCATTGTGTGAAACCGGAATTGGGTCTCGGGAGAAGGTTCAGAATTGTTCTCTCGGAGGACTTGTAAGGACATCAAAAGAAGCCACCAGAAGGCTCACAATAGACGTCTTCGGGTAGTAGGATCAGGGCTCTGTTTGTTCTTTTCTTTCATATTCCAAGTTTTCTGTGCGGCCTACACGTGACTTTCAGAGTAGAGAAAGTTTCAGAGGGCAGTGGGAGGGGGTGGGCACACCTGCGAGGGGCTCGTTATTTCACGTCCCTCGTGTAATGATATTTCCAGTCCGTTCACAGAAGCAGCTGCGGTCTGTGGTGGAGACACGAATGTGAGCAGGTCACTCCGCTGAGACAGCGAATTACTTTTTTCTGCCGGTCGCTTTCATGGGGAGTGAATGGGGGACGCGAGGTGGGAGGGGTGAGAACCCAAGGCCCCGGCGTTTCCACCACAGCCTTGGGGACAGGTGTGGCCCCCCCCCCCCCGTGAAATCGCGTGGTTTGATGTCAGTCGTCACAGTCAATCAAATTAAGAACGCCCAGCAGCTACGGGCTCTGGTGGTTTATCCAGGCGCCAGGTCCTGTTGACAGACGGGCCCAGGGGCTCGTGTACAAACTGGGTGGACACATTCCCCTTCTGTGGGCCGTGAACACTCCAGGTGACACTGGCCCGTGCGGGTCTCCGCCCTGGGCCTCTGTCCTTTCCTCACAATGGCAAGCCTGTGGGGGCCGGGCAGGGATTCTGTGGTGCTCTCCAAACCCCGTACCCCCTGCACCAGGCCTGGGCACCGAGGTGTGGCAGGCGGGGAGCAGCCGAACAGCCCAGCCCGCAGCGCCTCAGCCTGGAGCGCAAGCAGGAGCCGCCGGAAAGCCTGGGAGACGCCGCGTTCCCCCGGCCCCGGCCCCGCAAGTTTGAGTCTGGTGGTCTCAGGGGACCTGAGAGGCTGCGTCTAATTAGCGGCTGCTCCCTTTATGGGTTACTGTTCTGTGAGCATCCTAAACGGCTCGCAGCACGGGA